CAAATATGAGGTCTCTTCGTGTCCTCAGGTGCTCAAACAAGGTCTGGCTCAGAAACTGCTGGCTGGCTGAATGGATGGACAGATTGATGGATGGGCAGATGGACAGAAGGGTGGTTGGATGGATGGATGGATGTAGATGGGGGTGGGGAAGAGTTTGGAAAACATTTGGTACAGTGGTTTATTCCCCTTACAAACAGCCATCTTGTCCCTACAAGGGGTTTCACCAGAAACTCCCAGGATCCGTGGGCATGTCTCGTGGGCATACCAGACCCCACCGCTCCAGGATTCTAAACACACTGAACAAAACCTCAATGACTAACAAGCACAGGCCAGGGAACATGGCGGTCAGAGGACGGCCGCTTCCCTGTTTCCTTGGTATCCGACAAACCCTTTGACACATCGACATTTCTCATGGGCACTGCAGTAAAGAGCCAGTGCATAAACAGTTCAGCAGAGAGGCAGCAGAGGCCTTCCTTACACCACATAGGTCCTTCACGATCTATCAATTCAGTGACGAGGAGAGGAACAAAATCTGCATGGAACGGAAAGAAGCATGGCCTGGGAATGTTGAAGACCTGAGATTGATTCATTCACTCACTCGTCAAATATTCATTGCAACTAAGTGTCAGACGCTGTCTGGGGCAGTGGGATACAAGAGTGAGTCAAGAGACAAAAACGTCTCCCTCATGAAGCTTACAATTTATCCGGCAGAGATAAACAAAGAAGCGAAGAATATATAGTATGTCAGATGGTGAGAAACTGGTCAGGGGAGGGGGGCAGGGATTAGGCTGCACAGGGGAGTCAGGGAGTATTGCAGAAAGGGGGCAGGAAAGGCTTCTCTGACCCTGAAAAAGGCAAGCGGCCAAGGTTCACGTTTGGGGAGGGGAGCGTAGCAACAAGGGAAAGGCCTCACCACCAACTTGCTGCCTGCTCTGGACTAGAGAAGGAGGAGCTGGGGTGGCTGGTCCCAAAGGTCCTCTCAGCTTTTACTGCGCCCTCCCGCCCCTGCTTCCTCCCCTACCAGCCACCCCAGCTAGACCGAAATGAAAACCTGCAGCCCCCAAACCATCGTCCCCCTTTTCACCTGCACACGGGTGGTCCTTCCAATCTGCCCATCTTTACCCTATGGGAACCCTTCCCCAGCTCTGCCCTCCTCCACTCTGGGCTGGCTTGGGGTGCCATGACCCCGAGCTTCCATAAGATCCCACATCCACCCCCCACCCCCACCCCATCACACAGTGTACCCAACCGCTGTCACTGTCTCCTTGCTCCCCTAGACTTAACTCCCCAAGGCTGTGACCACGACTTCCCCATGTCTATAATTCCACCCCCTAGCACGCTGTTTGGTGTATAACAGCCACCCACTGAATACGCGCTGAATGCCAAATGCCGAAACCGTGTTGAGTCCCTGGAGGGCAGGGCCCACGTCCGATGCACGTCAGGGGCCCCGGGAGGTAGCAGGGTGCTGGCACAACACAAGAAACACCAGGTTGTCTGGTTGCTACATGGTTTAGTGCCTGTGCTGGTATAGGCGTTTTATCCAGAAAGCCAAGTTATCCTCAGTCCCCGACCGTGGAGGGTACAGGGCCAGTCCAGATGTGGTTCCCTGGGGTTGGGGCCAGGACTCCGGGCTAGGAAAGCTTCACATGCACTTATACATGCTGTGGGTTTTTCTTATTAGAATCTGCATTAATCACTAACATGCCTTAACCTCATCTGTAAGCTTCTATGCCCAGAGATAATTTGGTGTTTGGGGCATGGTTTTTCCAAGCTAACCATTTTACAAATCAAAACCTAATACGGAGTGTCCTTCAAAGCCATGGGAGGCTCTAGAGGGCAGCTGCCGTCAACAGGCCTAGAGTGCTTCCTGTCCGCCCCTCTCTTTGAATGCCAGGGCCATGAGGGCATAAGTTTGCCCCCGAGGGCTTCCCATCTTCCCTTGCAGAGTTTAGGGTAGTTCAAACATCTTTCAAAGAGAGCCACAGAGATTGAGAAGTAAGTAGATGCCATCTAATTCCACTCTTTCATAGGACAGCTGGAGAACGTGGGACCTGAAGAAGTGAAGTGGCGAAAACCCGGCGAAATACACTATTGTCTCTACTTTACAGAGGAATACACCGAGGCTTCAAAGCTCAGTGAGCAATGCCTGGTTCCAGAGCTAGTAACCGCCAGGGCAGAATCTTCCAGGTCTGTCTGACCTTGAGGGCAAACGCCATCAATGCTGCCGACACCCAGCTGGTTCAAAGGTGATTTTCCCCCAAGGCCCCAAGGAAGCTGCCCTGGGGGGGGCGGGGGGGGAGGCCAGGGTCTCCTGTGGTCTCATTTGCCCAGCTCCAGTACTTTGGGAAGCTCCACATCCCTGGGGGATGGGTCTGAGGGCTGCTCTGGCCGACTACAGCATTTCCCACTGACCCTGACGGGCAGCCGTGGTGTTCTAACTTGCTTTAGAAACCTCTGCAAATTGAACATAGAGAGGGTTGAGACTTCGGTATGACATCACATAGAGGAAGAGCCCTGGGAATGAGCACTGTCCTCCTTGGAATTTAGCCTCAGAGGTTGCCTTAGGGCAAGATAACCTCGGAGCTAAAAATGGAGCTATGTGTTTCCATGTTGTGTATGTGGGTGTCCGCGAGTTGTGTCTGTTTGCAAGGGTCCTTCAACGTGTGATGTGCGCATGGTTGTGTGTGCACGTGTAGCAGGATGCGAGGGATGTGAAGGACTAAGGACGCTCTTCTCTTCCTCCCTCCCTCCTTCCCTTCCTTCTTTCCAGGAACATAAAGGCACTGCAATTTTTTTCCTCCCTCAGAGATGCAAATAAACACCCAGTCTGAACTACCCCTTATTCCTCACCCCTGCAGAGATCTCCAGCTGTAATCATCCTGGTGGTGGAGGGTGGGGGCGAGGGGGGCATCTCATCCATTAAGGCAGCTCTGAAGAAAGGCAGGTCGCCTTCAGGTGAAATTGAAATTAGGGTCGGGAGCTTATATTCTTTAACTTTATCCCGACGAGGTTGGTTTTGGGTTTGTAGTGCAGTATCACGAAAGGAAGAGGCAGCGATCCTGGTGGCATCGAGACCAGCCTTCAAATCTCTTTTCTGCCTCTTACAGGAGGTAGAACTTTTATTGTTTTTAATGCTTACTTATTTTGAGACAGAGACAGAGTGCGAGTGGGGGAGGGGCAGGGAGAGAGGGAGACGCGGAATCCGAAGCAGGCTCCGGGCTCTGAGCCGTCAGCACAGAGCCCAATGCGGGGCTCGAACTCACGAAACGTGAGATCATGGCCTGAGCCGAAGTCAGAAGCTTAACCGACTGGGCCACCCAGGCGCCCCTGGAGGTAGAACTTTTATTACTAAACTTCTTAGCGTCAGGTTGGTTGGTTTGTTTTCAGCTTAAAACGGGGTAATCAAAACGCATCTCATCGAGTAATTGAGAGAACCAGTGTGGGAGAGAGAGCTTGACCCAGTGCCCGGCACACAGAAGGCACCAGAAACGGGTCAGCACCTTTATCTTTTGGGCGGCCATAGAGCACACAGTGCACACAGTTGGTTTCAAAATTACCCAGTATTTTTCTCTTGGAAGAAAATGAAGGAACATGAGAAAAATGAACAGAGACCCACTCCTCCAAGCACCTTTGCAAAACACTGAAATGACATTTGTAAAATTGCTTCCAGACCTGAGTAGAATACAAAAAAAAAAAAAAAA